ACCCACTAGAAGGGTTGTGTTAGGTTCTGGGATACACAAAGATTACATTGTTCCCCTTCAAGGCTCACCAGCAGAGGGGAAATGGGTGAACAAAGGATCACAGCTGCTCGCTGGGCCTTGCAAGGTAAATGGGAAGGAACACCTTGGGAGGTTCGGAGGCGGCAGTGATAGTTGCCAACAATGCCTCCTAGAAAAAGTAACTTTTGAACCAGTCTTTGAGGACTGAGGAGCAGCTCACCAGAAAGACAGGACGGAAGAAGGGCCTGACAGGCCAGGTGCTGACATGTGAGCACTGAGTGGAAGCGAAAATTCACAAAGGACCCCGTTTTATAACTGCTGCCAGCTATGCGCTGTACTCCTGGAGCAGAAGACAAAAAGGTAAGGGATTGGTAAGACAGAAACATCCTCACAAGAAGTCAGTGTCCAGGAGAAAAATCACTGAAATGCCTGTCAGGGGAGGCTCCGAATGGACTCTGAGGACAGAGAGCAGCAATCGCAGGAGCTGCAAGGACTCTTCCCAGGTTCGCGTGGACGGAGGGAAGGGAAGAGGCGCTTGTGTGACAAACCTGGGTGTGGAGCCGCTCGGGTCCTGCCTGTTTCCTAGCTGACTTAGGAAGGAGGACAGTCTCCCGCTTAGGGTAGGTCTGGTGTGTCTGACTCCTTTAGGCTGAGTCAAGAGCCCTGCCTGTGTGATTGCATTGCATTTCCACACTTGATGGTTGTGTCTTTTTAACTGGAGCATGGCTGACGCGGTGTTCCCTGAGATTTAGGGGATTCCACACGTCTGTACTTTACGCTGTGCTCACAGGTGTGGCTACCATCTGTCACCGCACAGTGCCCACTGGTTTTTCTTTGTCTTCCCCGCTAACTCGCAAGCTTTTTGAGGGCAGAGACTACCCTCTTTGCCTTTATCTTAGTCCGGCACCTCGCATGTGGTATGTGCTGAGTAAATGTTTGTTGAATGAATGAATGGTAGTGGGAGAAAGGTGAGGGTAATGGTGTAAGTTTTCAGAATAAAAATCTTGAAACTCCTCCAAATGAGATCAACGGAGAGGAGTGGTGGAGACCCTCACATGAAGTCCAAGTGTTCTTGAAATTTGTAGAAAAAAAGAAGTAAGGATGTAAAGGGACTGGAAGTGGACTAGAGAGAAACAGGAAGCGGCAATAAGGAGCAGTGTTCTTTCTGGACCGTTTCTATTGCCTTCTGAGATGATGGAGGCTGAGAAAAGGTGTAAGCCCTGCTGCAGGAGACGGTGTCTGGGAAAGGCATTTGAATTGGCACTAAAAGGAATGAGTAGCAATTTGAACTATATGTGGGCAGAAGGCCGGGTCGTCTAGGCCAACGCGAACAGTACATGTAAATGAACAGGGAGTTAAGGAGGTGTGTGCTCCGCCAGGGGTTCCGAGTGGGTGAGGGAGGCAGAGGCAGATAAAAAGGTGGCTTAGCCAAATGAACTCAGAATAGGCGATGGGGGCACCACTGAAAAATTTCGAGGAGAGCGATGCAGTCAGATTTGCATTTTACAAAGCCCACTTGATGGAAGTGGTTTGGAGGATGCCTTAAAATGAAATGGGCCCCGGAAGCACAAAGACCAGTGAGAAGGCTTGTGTAGTTGTGAGGTTTAGAGAAACTGGCTTTTAACTACGGCAGTTAAAGAGGAAAAGGAAGGGGTGGTGGATGGGAGAGCCATGTAAGAGGTAGAAGCAACAATACTTGGTGATTAATAGGACGTGGGGTTAAGGAGGGAACCTTAGATTCTTGTGTGATGACAGGTTTTCCCTGTTATCAGAAACTAGAGCATTCCTGAGAAATCTTTCCTAAGTCTAAATGTTGCATCAAGCCAAGAAACAATGACCATTTCTTTATATGGAAAAATCTTGGAGCATTCTCAAATCCAGAAAATAACCTCTCCTAGGCTCTTCTGATACTTTAGGACACATCTTGCTCACGGATGCGGAGATGCTGACTGTAGTCCCAGGGAAGGAGCTTGGCGGTGCCCCTCTTGGGGCTCAGGGGGCATGCTGCCTCTACAGTGGGCTGGCTACAAAACCAACGCTGAACGCTCTTTGGCTTTTCACCTTTTTTTGTAAAACCGAAAATCCTCTTCAGATTTCTTTTCTTTCTTTCTTTCTTTTTTTTTTGGGGGGGGGGTGGTTAGTGAAAATAGGTATTAATAGGTCTTCAGTAAAAGTGAAGTGGCAAAACACAAACTTTCAAAAAGTAGGGGATACATGTATCGGTTTCCTGTTTGGGGATTTTAGTGAATGATGGTACCATTCTCAGGATATAAAAAGGAGAGGACATTTAAGGACAAAGATGATACTTCATTTTGCAACTTACTGGGCCATCCAGGTGGAGAAGACTAGTATGCATAACATGGGGGCTGGAGTTAAAAGATTGGGAGCCTACGTGAAAGAGATTGTAGAAGCTGTGGGTTCCTTGATCATTGCTTCTCATTAGATTATTGTACTTCATTAGAAATTGATTGTAGATAAACCTATTTAAAAAAAAAAACTAAGCAGAAGCCAAGGTGCATAATTTAGAACTCTTTAGAGAGAATTCTTAAAGATGAAGGATCAAGAAATTAATATATATAAGCAGGAGAGTAATCATTCTTGTCTTTAGGAAAATAATTGAGGCTTGAGGTTCCAAGGAGCTTAACAAATTTAAACTTTTTCACCTGTTTTTCCTAATTAAGGCATAACATTTATATAGTGAAATACATAAAATGTGCAACACAGTGATTTTTTAAAACATGTGTGCACTCTTTTTTTTTTATTTTTTAATGTTTAAAAAAATTTTTTTGAGAGACAGAACATGAGTGGGGAAGGACAGAGAGAGAGGGAGACACAGAATCTGAAGGAGGTTCTAGGCTCTGAGCTGTCAGCACAGAGCCTGACGTGGGGCTCGAACTCATGAACTGTGAGATCATGACCTGGGCTGAACCGACTGAGCCACCCAGGTGCACTTGCACTTTTGTAACACAACCAGGTCACCTCTAGCTCCTCACACATTTCCCTCTGCAATCCTGTTTTTATTTCTAGAGTTTTTACATCCTAAGTGTAAACTCAGGATGGAAGAATCCTCCCTCTCCTTGGCTAAGTCCAGCAGGCTGCAGAGTCAGGAATTTCCTAAGAATCAAGTCAAAACCTGGTTTGAATTTTACAGTATATGCACAGTGTGCGTCTTTAATGACTCTTGCATATGCTTCTTCCTCCTCCAGTTTTTAATGGAAATTATGAACACCTCTAAATTTTTGTGTCCTTTTTAAAACTTAGCCTCTTAACACTATCCTGTCTTCTCTAGTATTCTTGAGAAATGGAGACTGTGGAGAAGATGACAGAATTGGAAACCCTTTTGTTTTCTTTGGGTTTCGTTGTGGTATATGTGTTGTCTGTCTTCCAGATTATTAGGTCCTATAAGAAATGGACTGTATTTTTCTGAGCTGGGAATAGTCCTGTTTCCTTGAGTACATCTGTTTGATTTTTTTAAATTTATGCCTTTCAGGGGAGTTTTCATGGGACTAATAGTCCACTTTGCAGAGGTAGCTCTATCTCGGTCACTGATTTTCCAGACCGGTAAGCCATCTGGAACAGTAACATGCTTTTTTTTTTTTTTTTCCACTTTGAAGTTTGTATTGAGAAATAAACCAAAGGAAAGGAAGAAACATGTAGTTAAAAGAATAATTACAAAGCAAACACCTATCTACCTACTACATAGGCCAAGAAATAGAATATAACCATACCCCTGGACCCTCCATATGCCCCTTCCTGATTGAATCCCCTCCCTCCCTTCCTAAGATAATCTCTAGCCTAAATGTGGTATGTCATTCCTTTTTTAAAGCTAGTTTTTAGAAACTATATATACACATACATGTGTATATATACATACATATAGTTTTAAAATGTTATATTTGAACGTTATATAATGGGTTTATACTGTGTGTATATTCTATGTGATTTGCTTTTTCACCCAATATTGTGTTTTTATAACACATCTAGGTTGCAGTGTGTAGCTATAGTTCATTCATTTACATATAGAATAGTATTTATTCTGTTGTCCGAAAATACCATAGTATGTATATTTATTTTACTGTTGATGGATATTTGTTCTGGTTTCTTTTTCCTGTTAAAAACAATAGTTTTTATATGTGTGTAAAAGTTTCTCTGGAATATTTATCTAGAAGCGCAACCACTAGTTTGTACAGTAAATACATAGTCAAGTGTACCAGATAGTGGCAAACTTTTGAAAAGCAGTTGTACCAATTTTCCTTCCCACCAGGAGTGGTTGAGCATTGCTATTGCTCTGTACCCTTACCAACACTTGGTATTGCCCAACTTAAAAAAATTTTTTTAATGTTTATTTTTGAGAGAGACAGAGAGTAAGCAAGGGAAGGGCAGAGAGAAGGAGGGAGACATGGAATCTGAAAGAATGCTCCAGGCTCTGAGCTGTCAGCACAAAGCCTGACATGGGGCTCAAACTCACAAACTGCGAAATCATGACCTGAGCCAAAGTTGGTCACTTAACCGACTGAGCCACCCAGATGTTCCAGTATTGCCCAACTTTTGAATTTTAGCCAATGTGGTATTTGCATTAATTTGCATTTTCCTGGTTGACATGAAATTGATATCTTTTCATTTGTGCATCTTCTTCAGTAAAATTCCTACTCAGTTATTTTGTAAATCTCTCTGGTACATTGGTTTGTTGTTTTTTTTTTAATTGATTCCTAGCAATTATTTATTATATTCTGGATGTTATTTTTTTGTTACAGTCATGTGAGGTGCAAGTCAACGATGTTTCCTTTTCTGTTCTGCAAATCTAGGCACCCAAGGAGAGATGCCTTGAGCGAACTTGGCAATTGAGAGCCACTGGCCTAGGCTCCTGTGCCAGACAGTATAGCACAGGGCCATGTGGTTCCGCACAGGGCAGGCCCTGGAACTTTAAGCGAGTTACATCTTAGTTCCTGACTACTGCTGACCTGTGCTGCTTGCCTTTGCAGGTGGAACAGGAGGATTTTGTAATGGAAGGGCATGGCAAGACTCCACCTCCTGGTGAAGAAAGCAAACAGTGAGTCACAGTTTATTTAAAAAGGGTCCTATTACAGATCTTCAGAAGCACTTTGGTTGAGCACACTGAGAGCATGTTTGCAGAGAATGCATACGTTGGGCACGTCGTGGAGCTCACCAGTTGCTTTGGTGGCTATTAATGCATAGCTTCTATTTATAGACAGACTAACTGGAGGGACAAGAAAGTTGGCTTTGTAGATTTTCACACTTGACTAATCAAAATTTATGTTACACTTTAGCAAAGGCTTTAAGGCTCAGGATGTTCCAAATTGAACTAATTCAGTCTGGTTGTCTTTTCTAGTGCACTTTTTTAGTGAAGTGCACTAAACTAATAGACTGTTTTCCCTGCATTCCACGTGTGAATTTATTTGAATAGTACTTCCTGAAGTTCTATTCCATTTAGTTATTTATACTTCTGTTCTTTGTTTAAATAACAAATTGTTTCCCTAAAGGAACAGGAATGATAAATAATATAACTTAGCCAACTTTCTAAATTATTCAAGACCTCTCCCCTGACTTCTTAACGAGTGATCAGTTTTAAATCTGAAATTGGAAGTCCTCGGGGTAGCTTTTTGGTGACAGTGAATAGATTTTTTTTCCCCTCCCTTTGCCACAGAACTTGAAAAATTGTGTTGCAGAGAAGACTGGTGTTTCATATGCCCTTTTAAAGGAAAAACATTTAAGACTGCCTTGAAGTACTGACATAACTACTATTTTTTATTCGGACAGTAGTCTCCCAAGTTGAATAGGATAGTGAGTGATTCATGGAATTTACCGAACACCTGTAGAGAGAAAGTCCTCTCTCATCTTATTTTCTGTTTCATAGAAAAGAGTTTAGTTTTGATCTGCCTTACGAAAAGTATGTCTCCGAAACACTTAGGAATGAATTATGTGGAATATGTTATGCTGCCATGAGGCCCGGTTCATTAAAGGAGAATGTTTGTCTTGTATTTGTTGTGAATGGAAACCAGGATATTTTCACAGCTGGTTTAATTTGCTAACCAGGCAGTTTTAAAAATAGCTTACAATATAAATCCTAACTTCGCAGTGTTCTGTCAAATGCACTTATATTCTACATGGGCTCACGGAATCAGTTCATCTTTAGCAAAGCAGAATGCCAAACCTCTAGTCCCAGTGGAATTACAGGAACATTTCAGGTGCATCTGCCTGTCCTCCTGCCCACTCCCCCAACCCCACCTTCCGGTCAAAGGTCTTATAATATAAAAATTACAGCTTCTATATGATGAGGGTTTTCTGTGCGCAAAGTACTTTGGTTAGATGCTGTATATGTTACCTCCCTTCATTGCAGTGTACCATTTTGCTCAGAGATCAGGGTAGGTAACTTGTCCATGGAAATGCAGCTGGAAATGGAAGTTAGGATTTGAATCTGGATCTTTCTGACATTAAAGTGTTTTATAATATCTTCCTAACCCAAATCCTTTGCCAGTCTTGGGAGCTGTGTTCCTGAAAAGTACTGTGGTTAGCAAAACTGTGCAGTTGTTAAAATCAAAGTCTCATGGATAAGAGGGAGTTGGGGGAAATAATGAAAATGGCATTAAGCCTATTTTTAAAACACAGACGAAAGTTCTGTTCTCTAGAGGGTATCCATTTCCAAAACAAACTAGTCTTTATCTTTAAAATTTTTTTTTTTAATGTTTTATTTATTTTTAGGAGAGAGAGAGACAGCGTGAGCAGGGGAGGGTCAGAGAGAGAGGGAGTCACAGGCTGAAACAGGCTCCAGGCTCTGAGCTGGCAGTCAGCACAGAGCCCGACGCGGGGCTCGAACCCACGAACTGCGAGATCATGACCCAAGCGAAAGTCGGACGCTTAACCGACTAAGCCACCCAGGCGCCCCCTAGTCTTTATCTTTAAAAACCTGCTCCAGTAACCCCTATCCTGTATCAACTTCTTTAGGTATTCAGGAAGCATTGCTGGGGCAGATGCTCCCACAAGTTTTATGTTATACAAACCGTTCTTTTAGAGAGCTTCAGACGGCCGGGTGGACTTGGGTCCTTACCTTGTTTTGTTCTCCTGGGTCTCATAGTGCCTTTTCACAGATGAGTCTTGTTTTGTTTTGTTTCTGTTCTGTTTGTTTCCTGGTCCTGATCTGCTGTCCTATATTGAAATGACTCTTCTCAGTAGGCACTCCTCTCAAAGACCTGTATACCTCTTCTGTGGGAGTGGGTAGCAAAGGTGATGTGTTCATTGGTTTGAGGCAACAAAAATTAAAAGATTTAAAAAAATTTTTTTAATTTTTATTTTATTTTACTTTATTTTTTGCATCTCAGAACTGTAGTTGGCAGAAGATGATAAATTCCTGGATACTAAGATCTAGGAACTGCATACTACATTCTAGATCCTGGAAGTGTACACATTGTTGAATGACTTACGGAATTCCCACTTATTCTTTTTTTTTTTTATGCTTTTATTTCTGAGAGAGAGAGAAAGACAGCATGAGCAGGGGAGGGTCAGAGACAGAGGGAGACACAGAATCTGAAGCAGCCTCCAGGCTCTAAGCTAGCTGTCAGCACAGAGCCCAACGCGGGGCTCGAACCCACGAACCTTGAGATCATGACCTGAGCTGAGATCAGATACTTAACCGACTGAGCCACCCAGGCGCCCCTCCCACTTATTATTTTCTTTTTATTTTTTATTTTATGTTTTAAATTATACAGTTGGCTCTTGAACAACATGGGTTTGAAATGTGCAAGTTCATTTATACATGGAAATTTTTTAAGTTTATTTATGTTTAGTAACCTCTACACCCAGCATGGGGCTTGACCCCAAGATCAAGGGCCATACGCTCTAAGAACTGAGCAGACAAATATGGCACCGTGCTGTAAATGTACTCTCTCTTACTTATGATTTTAAAACATTTCCTTCACTAAATTCCTCAAACCAGCTACACTAAATCTTGACTAACTAGAATTTAAATAAAAACTGGAAACAAAAATAAAATAAAACATTTTCCTTTCTTTAGCATACTTTATTGTAAGAAACCAGCATAGATATGAATGTATCATACAGAATAGGTGTTAACTGACTGTGTTATCAGGAAAGCTTCCAAACGACCGGCTATTCGTAGTTACGTTTTGGGGGGTTAGAAATTATTCGCAGATTTTCGACTATGCTGGGGAGACGGTGCCCCAGCCTCCATGTTGTTCAAGGGGCAGCTGTACACGATCGTCATGAAACATTCAAATGGTAAATGTAGACAGAAATAAAACTGAGACTCTTCCTTTTACTCTTCTCCCTCTCCTGATCTTTGTAAATTTAATTTGCTTATTTATTTAGAGAGACAGAGACAGTGCAAGTGGGGGAAGGGTAGAGAGAGAGGAAGAATCTGAAGCAGGCTTTGCGCTGTCAGTGTAGAGCCTGATATGGGGCCTGAACTCACAAAACTGCAAGATCATGACCTGAGCCAAAATCAAGAGTCAGATGCTTAACCAGCTGAGCCACCCAGGTGCCCCTGTTTTCTGTATATTTTAAAACAACAACTGAAAAGGGTTTTTTCCCTCCAACATAATTCTTCTGTGACTTGGTTTTCTAATTTGGCATCTTTCACACTTTGTTTCATGCTCTTAACCATCTGCAGAATGTTCTGTTGAATGGATGGACTATAATCACTCTTCTCCAATAGATGTTTTGGTGGTCTCTGGTTTGATTACTACAAATGATATTTTATTGAACATCTTTATTTTTATATCTTTATTCACAGGTGTATTTCTGTAGAATAAATTTCTAGAGATGGAGCTGTTGGTTCATGGGATGTATTTTTTTTACATGGAGGGAGCTGCTATCAAGTTGCCTTCCGAAAAAGCAATACCCATGATCCTTTCCATCACTAGTGCATGATAATGCCCATTTCTTCTCACCTTTGATGACAGTAAAATTATTTGTCCTTAAATTTTTGCCATGCTTATATTTTATTGTATGTATGTTCGATTTTTTTAAGTAATCTCTACACCCAACATGGGGCTTAAACTCACAACCCTGAGATCAAGAGTTGCATGCTCCACTGATTAGGCCAACCAGATGCCCCTAATATTTAATCGTTTTAATTTGTACTTTTCTGCTTACTAATGAGATGGAATATCTTTTGTTAATTTATTGACCACAAATTTTTCAATTTTATGTATTATTCATTTGCATAGTATTCCCATTTTTCTTAAAAATATTTTTTTAGTAGTTATTTTTGAGAGAGAGAGAGACAGAGTGCACGTAGGGCAGGGACAGAGAAAGAGAGGGAGACGCAGAATCTGGAATAGGCCCCAGGCTACGAGCTGTCATCACAGAGCCCAACACGGGGCTTGAACTTCAGAATGGCGAGATCATGACTTGAGCCAAAGTTGGACCCCCAACCGAGCCACTCAGGTGCCCCGAGTATTCTCATTTTTCTATTGGATTGTTTGTTTTGATAGTTTTGTAGGAGCCCTTTATGTATTTTTAAATTATTATTTTTTTTTATTTAAAAGAGAGAAAGTAAGTGCCAGTAGGGGAGAGGGGGGGGTGGTGCAGAAGAGAGATAGAGAGACAGAGAAAGAGAGAATCTTAAGTAGGCTCCATTCTCAGTGCAGAGCCTGATGTGGGGCTCAGTTCCACAATCCTGGGATCGTGACCTGAGCCAAAATCAAGAGTCAGATACTCAACCAACTAAGCCACCCTAGCACCTCTGTAGGATCTTTTATAAAATATAGATATTAGCTTTGTAGCTTTGTTTTCTGAGGTGTTTTAAATATTTTATCCCATTCCTTTTAACATTGGAGTGTCTTTCTTATGAATAAACTTAAAACATTTTTAAGTGGTAAAATCAATTAACCTGTTATAGCTTCTATAGTTTGTGCTTACTTAGAGAAGTTGTCCCTGTCCTAATGTAATAAATAAAATACCTTAGTTTTCTTGCCCTAACGTAATAAATAAAAATACCTTAGTTTTCTTGCTTTTTTTACCCCTTTAGTTTTTAAATTTTTAAAAAAATTTTTAATGTTTAATTTTATTTTT